ATAGACCTTAAGAAACCTCATATCCGGATTTTTGCATTTTTCATTTATTCTGATCATTATTATTTGCTATTTTCATTTTGATATCCTCACACTACTACTCATAAATATTTTCAAATTTTAAAAATGTTTGATCTCACACATTTATAATATTGCTTGATTGATGATGACAAAATATATAATACTATATATGCTACACGACATTAAATTACATGATAATATTCAATTATTCATTTTAAATAAATTAAAGATAGATTATTATATTATATAACTAATTAAAATAAAAACCAATTATAGTTATTGCTAACAGTCTGTACATTCAAATTACATAATAGTGATATACAATTTATATTATAGTTTGAGATTCTATTGATGACAATACAGTTGTTTCACTCAGTTTGACCGTGGTCACTATTTTATATGTTTGCTTTTCAGTACAGGAAAAACAGGTCTTTCCAGATAACTAAACGTAACACCTAAAACCCTTAAAATCAAACACCCAAAACCCATATAACCAGAATGATTTTTAAACACCAGATTAACCACAACCCAGTAAAACATTCTGTTAACCCGAAACCCGAATAATTTTGTTTTACAATTTTAATGTGATATATCATTTCGTATGTATTTCTTGTAGTTAGTTCGATTTTCAAATGGTTTGACAATACTATTAACGAAACATTTTACAATAATTATTAATAAATTCAATAAACAACGTAATATCACTGCTCCGGGCCGGGTTGTATTATTTTTCAGCACGTCCGGGTAACCCGAGTGTTAGCATTCACATTATTCAGGAATCCGTCCGGGTGTACCTATAACTTTGTCGTCAGTTGTGATCAAGATTTGTAACCACGTGGTCATATATTATATTTTAGTGTAATAATATTATTAGCATAATTTATAAATTAAAAATCATACTATTTAGTTTTTTACATATTTGTAAATTATAGTTATTCAAATAATTGACTATAAATTTTACCAATATTTAAACTTTAAAGTAAGTATAAATAATTAAATCACGTAATAACTAATAATACACAAATTGATAAAATAATTTTAATTTAATTATTAGCAAAATGGATTTTTCTGTAAAAGAACTTTCTATGATGGCATTAATGCTTGATGAGGATGAGCAAGTAGCTCAAGAGCCTCGTAGGTACTGGGTTCATTCTGCTTGGAAGAAACGAGATGACGAAGGAGAGTTCCAAACTTTGTACAAGGAGCTTGTAGACGATGAAACTAAATTCAATGAATATTTTAGAATGTCCATGTACTGCTTCGATGTCTTATTTAAAAAAATCGAAAAATACATTCAAAAACAAGATACAAATTTCAGGAAATGTATACCACCTAAGCATCGGTTAGCTGTTTGTTTAAGGTAAGAAATTAATATTCAGTGAACGATTTGAGTATTATTTTACTGTACTTTAATATATACCTAATAAAATTTAAAAGAAAATATCAAAATTTATATTGATAAAAACAAAAAATACGTTACAATCAAACATAATAAATAATAAAAATTGAACCCATATTGAAAAATATCTTTCTATCTTAAGACTGATAATACATTTTTAAAATAATAATAATAATACTTAATATTAAAAATAAAAAGAATAACCTTGAACATTTTTAAATTTGTGAAAATTAATAAACAATTGTTATTATAATGGTAGTAATATATGTAAATAAAATAAATAAAACAATTCATAAATATATAAAACTTACATTTTTAAGCATAATTACTATAAACAGATTAAAATTTAAAACTAACCAATATTTAAGTAGTGTGGTTGCTCATTGTTGCTCTCGCGTGGAGTAACATCAGTTATATTTTGTTGTATGAAACGCGGATAACTTTGATGTACTTTAGGTTCAGGGACGTGTGCTGAAGTCCAGATATTATTATTTTGTGATGACGGAGTGTATGAATGTTGACTTTGGTTATTTATTATTTGTTGTATTTCAATATCTTGTACAGCAGTAAAAATCTTAGTTTTAGCTAGATTAATATGGTATGGATCAAACGACCTCATCGTGGCCGCTATTTCCATTAAAAATGCATCAATATGGTCCTTTTTTTAACATCTTTTTCCCGTTCTTTATTTTCTAAAATATACCTCATCAACGTCGATGAGGCTGTTTCTTGGTCCTTTTTTTTTTATACCGCCTGAGCCAATTCGAGGAAATCCACGTTGAATACACCGTTGTGGTTCTATTGGTGTAGAATGCTGCACTGTATTATCTGCAGTATCGTTTGAAATTTTGTTATCAGAGTTAATGCTTATATTATGAAGTCCAACGTATTCTGGTACTTCATAATCATCCTCATCTTCGGAATTACTGCGACTTTCAATGTTTGTAGTAGTTGGTCTTTCTTGAAAATAATGTTTTAAAAAACTAATTTGGTCTTCATATTTATATTTAAGTATTTTTTTGGTTGCTTGACCACTTGAAGTCTTTTTTTTATTTAAGACTTTTCTATATTGATCTCTTATATTTGACCACCTAGCTTTACACACAGTACCTAAAATAAAAAAAAAGTAGTACTATAACTAGGTTTAGGGTCTTATAGGGATGTAAAACGAAGTACACTAATAATTAGGGCTGTGAACTTAATGCACTAAAATGTCTTTAAAATATCAAAAAAATGCAATAAAATATACAAATTATAAAAAAAAAAAATATAGTATAAAATGCACTTTAAATATTTTTTAATTTAATTTATTTATTTATTAAAAAAAAAAAATTATAAAAAATTGGTTTAATTTGAATTTTGATTTTGAAGTTGATTTATTCTTTAATAATTTTATTTGTCTAAACCATTTTTTAAAAAAATTTTCAAAGAAGTTAATTGACAGAATTTAATTAAGAATACCGAAACATGAACCAAAAAGGAAAATATGACTTAAAATTAAAAACGTCAAAAAATGTAAAAAATTGTAAGATAAAAATTTTATTGATTTGAATTTAAAAAATTGATTTTTAATTTGAATTATGTTACAACAAAGCTACATTTCATAATCACTAAAAAATTTCACTTTCCTACAAATTCACAGTTCTACTAATAATTTACTATTCATTATTATTATGGATATAAGTTATTGAAAATTACTATTTATGTATTAGTTTACAAATATATATATTTTGTTGTAAATAAGAAATTTTTAATTAAACTTATTCAAAATTAATCGAATAAAAACACAAATTATAAAAAAAATAAGACCCTGCTCTCTGTAGTTATAATAAATCCAAGCTTATATAGTCTTTATATTATCATAATTCATAACTAATTATAAAATTATAAAATAAATTTCAGATTTTTGGCAACAGGAGATTCTTTTAAAACCATATCATTTAGTTATCGTTTAGGTCATTCAACAGTGTATGAAATAGTTACAAATACTTGTAAAGTATTAGTAGAAAAAATAATGCCAGAAGTAATGCCTCTACCTACCGAAAACAAATGGAGAGAGATCACAGACGAGTTCTGGAGTTGTTGGAATTTTCCAAATTGTATTGGGTCATTAGATGGCAAACATGTTGTTATTCAGGCTCCACCTAGAAGCGGAACTCTATATTTTAATTATAAAAAAATATTTTCCGTGGTACTTATGGCACTTGTAGATGCACATTATAATTTTATTGTGGTCGATGTTGGTGCATACGGCAGAAATAGTGACGGTGGGATTTATATGCACTCAAAATTAGGAAAAGGTTTAGAAAGAAAACAACTGAATGTGCCACCAAGCACTGCGCTTCCAGGTACAACAAAATATTGCACCATTTGTAATATTAGGAGACGAGGCATTCCCTCTAAAAGAATATTTGATGAGACCTTACCCAGGAAAACAACTCGATGAGCATTCAAAGCGTATTTACAATTATCGTCATTGTAGAGGAAGAAGAATTGTAGAAAATGCATTTGGAATTTTAACCCAAAAATTTAGAATATATAATTAGAGACTTCAAGCAAAACCGGAAAATGCAGATAATATAATTTTAGCGACTTGTGTTTTATACAACTTTATAAAAATAAATGATGGCAAAGTAACATATAATCGAGGTGAAATTACCAATCCTGAAGATTCGTCAACTTTTCAATATTTAACCATGCAAGGAGGAAATGCAAGTCAACAGGCATTCCAGGTTAGAGAAATATTTAAAGATATTTTAATTCTTCTGTTGGAGAAGTTTCGTGGCAAAATAAAGTAGTATAAAAGTAAGATTCATAATAATATGTAATGCATCCATTTTTTTTTTCATTCATTAGTTATTATAGGTAATAATAAAATCATAGTAATTAAGTTAATAGTTTTTATTAAAAAAAATTGTTCTCGATACTTTAATGTGTATAAAAAAAAATGTGAATTTATAATAAACAAATACTGCATATAATGTGTTTAAATGTGTATATAGCAAGAGTATGTTGTAACTTATAAGTTATCAGCTTACAAAAAAAACAAACAAAAATATTTTTTAATATAATTTTAAAATGTACGTCAAAGGTGTCGTAAGTATACACGTATGATTGTATGAATTAACAAAAAATAAATGCAAAGACTAAAAATACAAAAGTACCAAAAAAGAATTAATAATTAGTGATAATGAATATTATTTTAGTTTTTGATGAAATATTAGTGCTGGTCTACTAATAATAAAAAAAAAACAACAAAATACTATAAATTCATAATTATAGTCCTAAAATTAAGGTACCTATCACATTTTTAAAGCTGTAATAGGTTTGTCTACTTACATAACAAAATCAAACAATTTTAAATAATATGCTTAAGTTAAATTATTTGACACATAATTTTTATAGGTAAATAAATGTGTACAATATAATTATACCTACAATAGTTAAAGGTAGAGCGCAGATTTATATACAATTGTATATTTTTTCCTTTTTCATACTTTAAGATTTTTATTAATTTAAGTAACCTATTACTATCGTCTATTACTATTTAACTATGATAAAATTTAAATAAATATATTCATATTTAAATTAATTAATACCTTTTTTACAATATTTAAATATATATTAATATTGTAAAAATTTGTCATAATAATAATTAAAATGTTCTTTCATATACTTATCGCATAATTTTTGCGTATTTGTTGCATATTTTTATGATTTTTACTGCATGTTATAAAATATATGGCATATATTGGTACTTTTTAGTGCATAAAAATCCGCGCTTTAGTTATAGGTAACTTAAACTTTATCTTTTTTAATAAATGAAAAGTTAAAAAAAAAATGTATTCAAATAAAATAAATAATTACCTGGTTGATTCATTTCGTCACCTATAGCTTTCCAAAGTTTATCTTTATGAGTCGCATCGCTATATTTTGGATCACCCAAGTCATATAGACCGGAATGAGTCCGAACTATTTCAATAAGTTTTTCTGAATCCATATTAATTCAACACAAAAAATTAAAAGTAAACTCACAAATATTTTAATAAAAGCTGAAAAAATGATGTTACCGAAACAAAAGTTAAAGGTTTAATAATTTCTGAGGCTCGTTAAGCACTCATTTTCATCCGTAATTTAAACCAATAAGGACTTGTATAATCCCGTTTAAACAATAATAATTTGTGTTTATTTTTGTGTTTTTGTGTACACGATAGTAGTCTAAGTTGAAATAATGCTATTTTCAACTTAATAAGTATCTTTTAAATTAAATCTAGCTACTGCCTATAGAAGCTCAAAATTTAAAATTTCCAGTAATTTTCAAAAGCGCTAGGAAAAAAAAGGAAAATCGGGAATTTTTACAAAACCAATTTTTAATACAATGTTCCCATAAGCTGTTATTATTGGAAATTAAAAAAAAAAAATTAGTAAATGCACAATAATTTTTTTATGAGTGCCTTAAGTTAAAATTTCAACAATATTTGTCAAAATCACGAAAATTTGCAAATTATTTTGAGTTAGAAGTTCATAAAGAAATGTCTTTTCATTTTTAAAATTAAAAATTTAATACAAGATTTCTGATAAGTTTGTCAACATTTAACTAAAATATATGTAGGTATACCAGAAAGTCAAATTAAATTTTTATGACCTTATGAAATTTAAAACCTTACGGCATCAGATATTCATGGATATTAGATTCCTCATGATATAATTTTCTTATTTTGCTGTAATTAAAAAACAAATAACCGTAGGAAATTTGCATTAAATGTTTATTTTATAATTGTCTATGTTCGATAAAATTTTCAAAATATTTTGATTCGTTTTAAGTTGTTCCCAGATATTTTAAATTTTAAATTTTTTTAATTTTAATTTTCCATAAACGTCAATAAAATTGTTATTCGTTTATCAAAAAAAACTTGAAAATTTAATATAAGGATCTTCACGCGTTATTACAATATAGTAGTTTGAAAATATTAAAAAATATAAATAAAACAAAGGCACGAATTTTTCAAGTATTTAAGTTCAAATTTTGACATAATAAATTTATAAATGTAAATTTTGGCATGAGTTTCGACAAAACCGGGATAGGTACGGGCCCGGCACGGTCATCGTTCACTTGTCGGATTTGTAATCAGGGCAAACCGTCCGGAATCGAAGGAGTAGTAGAACGATACTTTCTTGCCTGAGATTGTCATGATGTCGGTCGTCTGCCCAGCCGGATAAGTGAATGTTTCTTTAAAATGCATGATATGATATTTCTGTCTACCGGACGGATCCTACTTGTGCGCACGCCGACACGGCCGGAGCATGGGAATGGACTTATGGAGTGCCGGATACGCCGGAACAGAGTTCAGTTACTCCTACTAACGACGGGGACCTATCCAATCATCTATCGACTACCGTTGAGTTGTAAACTGACCGAATTCATGCACTTAAACCGTTTTAGAGATTGGCGTAATGACTATACACACGTCGTTTAAGATAATTTACGATTCGCTACGAAACCGTAAATCGGCATATTATTGTCGTTTAGAGTGTTTCCGACGTATTCCTCCTACATTATTTAATCGTATACGTCTTGTGACGTACCGAGTTTAATGTCACAGACACATATCACGTTCGCCCCAAACGTACGCGAT